AAGACAGACAGATGTTTTGTGAATCCTTGAAGTTCATTATTTTCAGAGTGTAAAGACACAGACATCACACACAAATACGTTTGTTGAGCTGTTACTTGGATCTTCCATTAAACAGGAACACACAAATAAATAATGAGCTTTTTCACATACCAGTCTTCTCGCCATTGACACATCAGCGTCACATTTGAGCTGGAATGGATTTCATTATTCAATGACAAGAACATCCCTGGTTACTCCGGCAGATGATGTATTCAATAAATTATTAGACTCCTCGTCGTTTCACGGTGAGGTGAGGTGAGGTGAAATTGGGTTTATCGTCGTGCTTGATAATATTTCGCTCATATGACGACGTGCATGCGTGTGTATGTGTATGTGCGGCTGCTTGTACTAGCCCAGACTGAAGCTGGTTTTATAGTGCTATCCCACTGAGATACCATGCCGCAGTGAAGCATGAATTCCCCACTCAGACACATTATACTGACTCCGAGCCGACCAGTCCTTGTTGTACCCAGTAACACCGAGCGCCAGGCAGGGACCAACAAGTACCATATTTTAACGTCTTTTGGTATGACTCGGCCTGGGATCGAACCCGCGACCGTCCGCTCTCCGGGCGGACGCTCTAACCACTACACCACGGAGGCGGTCTCGTTTCACGGTAACAGAGTTGGTAGTCATCAGCTTCAGTTTATCCCATGGGGATTTAGCTGTTCAGGATCGTATTGATGAACGTTGACTTGTGGATAATAGCACTTAGAGTTGGGTTTAGAAAAATACATTTCCTACAGGAGTAATATCTTGCACATTGCATAACATCAATTTTGAAAATACGTTTCCCAAAGGTGTTGTTATCTTGGGATGTATAAATTTTCCTTGTGAAATCGTATGATAATGTCCAGTGTGGCGGATAACCCTGCAAATTAAACATCAGCACCACAAAGATGTTTGCAGCGCGTAGCAACAATAGAGGAAGGAAATGTTTGTTTGAATAAAGTTTGTTGGCCTTTATTTATCAGCCTTCCATATATAATTCATATTCTGCTGAGAATAATCTCTGTTTACAAATTCATGCCTGAAGTACAAAAAGTCGTTTTTGGTTTGGTTTTCATGAAGCGTAAGGTCATCTTTTTGGATCGCTAGGCATATTTTATGCGCACTTTATTCATTTCATACTCACAGTCAATCAGTAAAGGGAGGCGACTCGATTTCTTATACTGCCGGTCTGAGCACGCTACACAAAACCAAATATGTTCCATTGAGTTCTTTGTTAATGTAATTTTTTGTTAAATAAATAAATAAGCCCTCAACAATAACTGTATGTAGATATGTGCATTGTCAGAAGCATTAAAAACAAAAGGCATGGCTGGCTTAAACCAGGAAGCTGGACAGAAACGAACAAGTCCTGTACAGAATGTCTCCCGCTTGAAGACATCTATGGTCATGCTCAGCATAAATCATCATGTAAGTGTTGTTAAACATGATCAGTTTTGTATACTGGAGTTAAGGAACGCCAGACTGGTTCCCGAGGTATGACGTGTAAGAGGCGGTGGAGTAACTTAGTGGTTAAAGCGTTCGCTCGTCATGCCGTTATAAAACTCCCGGCCAAATTCAGGAAGATTGGTCTAAAATGCCACAAATGTCATCCGACGTTTACTCAGGATACAGTCTGTGATACATAGTCGCACGGACGTCTTGGTTACGTCTGAAAATCGAAGACATTCAATGAGTAGGCGCGGTGGGGTACTTAGTGGCAATAGCGTTCGCTGGTCACGCCGAAGACCCGGGTTCGATACCCCACATGGGTACAATGTATGAAGAACCCTATCCGGTGTGGCCTTCTGTTATATTGCTGGAATATTGCTAAAAGCGGCGTAAAACTAAACTCACTCACTCACTCACTCACTCACTCACTCACTAGACTGCAAGACTCGTCTACCTATTAATAAATGGGAGGTTTTTTTCGAAAAACGACAAACCAGTCAGAAATCGAGTAAGGCTTGAGGTGCTTCGATAAAAGTAATCCTGAGTTCTTAAGTCTGTTATGACAAGATGCATTCGTTTAAAATATCGGTTCACAGAAAACAGAATTATGTAGCATGAATTGTATTAGTTATTGGCTGAGATAGTCCATGCAGGGTACTATGCTATTTACATGACACACACCTGGGATAGGTTACATAACAGCACCCACGGTTTCCTACTCAATATTTTTCTGTCCATTGTTTGTCTTCCAAGACATGTTTCAGTATAATAACCGTTTTGATACGTACTAATAGCTATAAGAGCCGTAATACACTCTTCAAAAAAGAAACGCATAGGTGATTTTGAGAATATTAGACAAACACAATACCAATATACTATTTCTTTCCAAAACGTCATTTGTGTGTGGTTGTAAAACAGCTTCAGCACCAAAACGGGGCAATTTTAACTTATTTACCTTGTTTTAGAAGCGTTGGAAGCAATATTCGCCAAAACGTCACCATGAAAACATGCAAAGCAAAATGCACGTGCAAGTAAGCGGAAAAGCTGTGTTTAATTTCGTCATTCGTTTTTGCCTGGAAAAGAGGAAATCATCATGCCATGACTGAGTTCCGTCTATCAAAACATCGCCATAGGCCGCCTTGAAGCTGGGGAGTCGCAGTCTGCAGTTGCCCGACACTTTCAACGTTCATCATAGCACCATATCTCGCGTTTGGGATCGTTTCCTGCAGACCCAAGATCGCCCGAGAAGTGGCAGTACAAGAGAGGTGGTAGTAGTAATTGCTGCCAATGGTGGCCGTGACTTTGACGCCATCATGTGGACTCAAGTAAACAGAAACTCTGCTTATAGACGTGTGAGTTTTCATCTTTTTACCATTGAAATTTAATGAAAGAATTGTTCTTAAACTAACGCAATAAATTCTCCTGAAAATGGCTTATGGGTTTCTATTTTTTGAAGAGTGTATAGTTATACAACGCATGAACATAGCATAATTCGTCTAGGTGTTTTCCAGATTCATCAATAGGTACATTGATTGTGTTAACAGTAAATTGCCGATAACAAGTATTTGGGAGCAAGTGCAGTTTTCACCCAATAAACCTTCAAAGGGCAAAATGAATTGCAGGGTTCGGAATTATGAGATTTTGATTCATTTGTCACATGACACACAGTCCCATTATTTCAAACTCTCAACACTTTCATTTTTCATTCTCAAAGGCAGCTCTTTATAGAAGGCTAAAATAAAGTTATTAATACTGACAGAATTGGTTTATGGAAAATAAATGCAGTGAATCGAACATCTTTAGCCAGCGAAAATGGATGCTAATGTTACTTGTGGATTCCCAAGTTGAAACCGAACGTTAACCGTGAATAAATCCCTTAAATATCTCGGTATGAAACTGATAAACAACAAAGAGACGGTATGTAATTTAACAATTGTATTCAACAATTGACTAAATTATAAAGGTAATGCAAATCACTGTAAAGGTATCACAGAGGTAGCATGAAATAGAGCAATAAATACAATGATGGAAATATTCATCGAACAGCAACAATGATCAACGTTCCTAAACAGGCTGGGGATCCAGGGAATAATCATCGTCACACAGCTGCTGGTGTTGTAACTTGAGATGGAATGTGAGATGAGATGCAAGAGTTAACTCCCCTTATATACCCCCCAAAAAGACTCAATGTATTTCGCTGTATATACATTCATTATTCATACCTTTGAAACAGATTTATCATCATTTAAAACAACAGTATCCAGATGAATGGGCTGAATCCTGAATGCATACCCGGCAGACGGGAGAGGCAAGTAAATCCCGATAGTCCATGGAATGGTGACGTCACTTGGTTTCAATAGGAATGTAAATTTGTTTAATCCACATTATGGCTGATATATTGCCGGTGTCACCTGTTGAGGGAGCACGTGACATGCTGTGGCAATGTGTCCACGTAATGTGTTGTGGACATTGGGTTCACATGGTGAGTTGTGCAGATGAGTTCATAGGGTGAGTTGTGAAGATCCGTTCAGATGTAAAGATGGGTTGACATGGTGAGTTGTCCAGATGGGTTGACATGGTGAGCTGTGGAGATGGGTTGACATGGTGAGTTGTGGAGATGGGTTCACTCGGTGAGTTGTGGAGATGGGTTCACATGGTGAGTTGTGCAGATAAGTTCATGTAATGTGTTGTGGAGATTGGGTTCATAGGGTGAGTCTTGGAGATAGGTTCATAGGGTGAGTTGTGGAGAGGAGTTCATAGGGTGAGTTGTGAAGATCCGTTCAGATGTAAAGATGGGTTGACATGGTGAGTTGTCTAGATGGGTTGACATGGTGAGTTGTGGAGATGGGTTCACTCGGTGAGTTGTGGAGATGGGTTCACATGGTGAGTTGTGGAGAGGAGTTCATAGGGTGAGTTGTGGAAATGAGTTCACATAGTGAGTTATAGAGATGGGTTCACATAGTGAGTTGTGGAGATGAGTTCACATGGTGAGTTGTGGAGATGGGTTCATAGGGTGAGTTGTGAAGATCCGTTCAGATGTAAAGATGGGTTCACATGGTGAGCTGTGAAGATGGGTTCACATGGTGAGTTGTGGAGATGATTTCACAGGGTGAGTTGTGGAGATGAGCTGACATGGTGAGTTGTGGAGATGAGCTGACATGGTGAGTTGTGGAGATGAGCTGACATGGTGAGTTGTGGAGATGACTTCACATGGTGAGTTGTGGAGATGATTTCACATGGTGAGTTGTGGAGATGATTTCACATGGTGAGTTGTGGAGATGATTTCACATGGTGAGTTGTGGAGATGATTTCACATGGTGAGTTGTGGAGATGAGTTTACATGGTGAGTTGTTGAGATGATTTCACATGGTGAGTTGTGGAGATGAGTTCACATGATGATTTGTGGGTGAGTTGACATAGTGAGTTGTGGAGATGAGCTGACATGGTGAGTTGTGGAGATGAGTTTACATGGTGATGAGCTGACATGGTGAGTTGTGGAGATGACTTCACATGGTGAGTTGTGGAGATGATTTCACATGGTGAGTTGTGGAGATGAGTTCACATGGTGAGTTGTGGAGATGATTTCACATGGTGAGTTGTGGAGATGAGCTGACATGGTGAGTTGTGGAGATGAGCTGACAGGGTGAGTTGTGGAAATGAGTTCACATGGCATATTTCTTCGTCCACTCTCTGACGGTCTGCTCGTATTTCGCACGGTCAGTTTTGTACAGACGGGCAATGTCTGGTTCCAAAGGATCATCCGCATTAATGCCATCCACCAGCAGGCATCTCACACACAGTAAAACTGGAACGAAGAAATATGTATTTATGAAACTCCTGCCAACTCTTGTTACAAAATCTGTGGACTATCCTACCAAACACTTGTGTCAATGTAAATCGCCATACGTTGACATCACGCAGTTATTTCAGGTGTGTTCTATAGTTTACTCGTCTCAAGCCCAGAAAAGAATCATTCCTAGATCATCAACCTTGTCTGCAGAAGATTCTATGTTGTAAAACAGGAAACAGACAGTTTTAATCGTGACAAAAACTGTGGACTGTCCTATCAAACTGGCACCAGATGTTGATATCACGCAGTTATTTCAGTGTGTTTTATAGTTTACTAGTCTCAAGCCAAGGGGAACAACAATCATTTTAACTTGTTTCCAGACGATTCTATATTGTAAGAGAGGAAACCGACAGTTTTAATCGTGGACACGGTCTTGGGTAAGGCGGCGGTATCATTCTCACCTTTGGCTATAGTGAGCGCTGGACACCACTGCTCTCTAAGAACGTGAAGGTTGAGAAAGCCTTTCCTGCTGATGTTTGGGTGATAGACAGGTGTCGTGAACTGCACCTGTGTTAAGACAGATAAACAGCAAACCCTCCTTAATCAGGACCTCGTCAATCGAAACACTCCACTGTCCACACACACATTTTCTGGGTGGGCACTATAAATATATTAGCTCTATACATCAATAGATAAATTGTTCACACAAACATCGATAACAGACTATTGCAAAACGAGACGTTGAATCTTCCGTCACCAAAGCTTAAAAGGGACCTAACCTTTGGCGGTTGAAAGGAGTTTCTTTCGGTAGGGGACTTTCAAGTCGTATCTAACGCGAAGGGGCTAAAAAGGGTATCTTACCTTGGAGGGGTGAAAAAGTATTCTTTCGCTGTGGTAACCCACATTAAGTACTTCTTAAAGGGGACATAAATAGGTTTGTTGTTTTATGGAATTAATAGACACACTTTATCTTTGTTAGTATAAAGGTTTAGTTAAGGGTTTCAAGGGCGCATTTTGTTACGTTGTAAAGGGGGAGGGGTTACATTGGTATCTTACCTGTGGGTTATCAATCAATCAATCAATCAATCTCTATTCCGGTACACAAAAGGCCTCAGGCCTATAGATCACTATATACATTTGCTTTATACACGTTAAAGGAACAATACGCTTTTTAAGTTCAAATGCGTAGAAAATATACATGAACACAGGGGTGGAAATAACCCATTGCCCGACGCCCGAGTCCAGTGGTTTTTTTCTGTCGGGCAAGCAAATTTGTATATCACACTGTACCGGTGTCCAGTTGACTTTCCAATATGAATTATGTTGTTTATTTAAAAAATCAACAAGAAAACGGCCGGTATAGTGGAAAAATTATCAGGGTAAGTGATTTTACATGTGCCACTGTACCGGAGTACACTAGCAATTTTAAAGTTATTTCCACCCCTGGAACAGGTTTTCAATTTCTTTAGTATTTGAACTGTTTAGCAGTAGCGAAAACTTAAGCCTAATTGGATGGACGTAATATCCTTCTCTCATATATTTGCTTCGAAGATTACTGTAGTTATGGCATAGAAGAAGAAAATGATACTCGTCTTCAATTACATTTGAATTACATAATTGACAAGTTCTCTATTCATATTTACATATCTACCTTTCTCAATTAAAAGTTCATGAGATGAACATCGGAATCGTATTAAGCTTACTCTGTAATTTTGTACATTTAAACATGATAGATAGAATTCAGCATGGATATTGTTTTTAAACTTAAGGTAAGTGTCACAATTTCTTGAAATAGATATTTTTTCCTGCCAGTTTTGAAAATACATATCTTTTAGTCTTTGAGTAAATGATTTGATGAATTCCGGATATATTCCAGAAGAAAATAATAATTGTTTTATACCAGTCCCCAAGTTAATGTCCCTTTCTATCATATAAAAGCATCATATTATAACATTTCTTGGGTAAGAGATAGGTTGGCATGTGTTATAACTTTATCCAATACCGAATTACTTTACAATAAGAGTATATGTATAAATGAAACCTGCCACATTCTCCTTAGATCGTGATAGTTGGAGTGTTTTGTTTAACACTCAAAACCCTTTTGCAAACAAACAATGTACCATTTCTAATTTTCCAAGTGTATTTAATCCCCAAATTTCTGCGCCATATAAAAGAAAAGGATATATTTTTACATCAAATATTTTGAAAAACGAATTCATACTGAGATCACCAAGAATATGTATTTGTCTTAGGAATCCTAGAAGTACTTTCTGTGCCTGCACTGCTGCACAGTTAGCATGTTATAACCTGGATAACTGATTAGTGAACTATACACCAAGATGTTTGAAAGAATTTGTAGTTTCAAGTTTACAATCTTTAAAATATCATTTTTCATTTCTTGCTAGTTTTCTACCATTTTTAAATACCACTACTTTGGGGTTACTGTGGATTAAATAGATACACATATACAAGTCATGTATTAATGAGGAGATTTAAATCGGTTTCTCACCTTGGGGGGTTTAAATGGGTATAGCATGGGGAACACCACGTCCAACATGAATATCCCACCTTCATAGGGTGTACCAGCCTGGCAAAGGAAATCAGAGTCAATGTCACTATGCAGCTCGTGGATAGAATGTTTGTCTCAGGAGCAGAATATTGGTGGTTCGATCCCTGGCCGTTTCATGCGTAAACTGACTGACTGACTGAGTTTAATTTTCCGCCGCTTTTAGCAATATTCCAGCAATATCACGGCGGGGGACACCAGAAATGGGCTTCACACATTGTACCCATGTGGGGAATCGAACCTTGGTCTTCGGCGTGACGAGCCAACGCTTTAACCACTAGGCTACCCCACCTGCCGCGTAAAGGTGATTACAGGTGGTGCTTGTTGTTACCCAGCCTTGCGCTCGGCATTAAGGGAATAAAACAAGGACTGGTCGGAGTCAGTATAATCTGTCTGGTTGGTGGTTGATTGGTTGGATTGTTGTTTAACACCGCACTCTGCAATACACCAGATTTATGGTTACAGTCTGTAAATAATCGAATCTGGACCAGACAATCCAGTGATCAACCGCATGAGCTTCAATCTACACAACTGGAGTACGATGACATGTGTCAACCAAGTCAGCGAGCCTGACAACCCGATCCCGTTAGTCGCCTTTTAAGACAAGCTTGGGTTGCTGAAAACCAGTTTTAACCCAGATATTCACAGGTAGTATAATTTGTCTCATGGGATTCAAGTTAAACTGTGGCAAACGTGCACACATTTAGAAACACTCATGTACGTCCGTATATATGACCAATAATTCTGAGCGCCACGTTCAGCCACATAACTCTCAAACGACTGATATAGTTTGTTGGGGCACTTTGAGCACCGAAAAATATATATCTACTGAACAAATCTAACTGAGTGAGTGAGTGAATTTTGATTTTATATTGCATCGGCAATATTGCAGCCATATCTTGTTGAAAACAAGTTGACTAACATAATTTTATGTCTCTTCTAATATAACGTACAGGTTATCAAAATATGAATTATAATTTTTTAAAGACCTGGGGTCTCTTAGGTTACAGTCCAATGACAAATGTGAAGATAAATACTTGGACATTTATACATACCGGACCCTCTATGATCGCGTCCCAGTTAAAAACTGCAACAGATCAATTTCTAAATGGTAACAAAAACAAAACCGTGGATTCTAATAAATGAAACGAAAATATTATAGTTCCAGGGGTTATTTTTGGAAATGTTGTTTGTAATACTCGTCAAAAGAAAGCAAGCACCCACTTTTGATGGTGACTAAAAGGACACAATAGACAAATACGATGATTAAAGCGACGAAGGAAACCACAGTCTTTACTGACCTTTTTTATAGTAGTATTAATCTGTTTTGCGTTTAAAAGTAATTTTAAATCGAGGGTAGTGTAAAACTTGCTGATTTACTTTCCCTTAACGTCGATTATCATCTCTTTTGTTTCAGATATATGTAAAACCAAACACAATTACTGTTACCACAAAGTTAAATTGGTAATTGTTCAATGGAGCCATTTCTAAATCTTTAATAAGAGAGTTCCGTCATCAGCTAACGTGACTGGTAAGCCGTCGTCAGAGGTATGGTTGACCCATTATGGTGTGGATCAAACAAGCAGTAACAGAAGGAGGTATATAGTGTTTCATTTACCTCGAAGAAAAACATGTGGAACTAATGAGAGTAAAAAAACCTTGAAAGCAAATCTGCCATACATCTGTTCACAAAACGTTCTTCAGGAAATAATGAAGTAGCAAATACAGAATTAAATTTCGTTTGTCACCTACCGTTTTCTGCGAAGGGCCCGAAGGATATCCCTTCCATAGGATGTTCCAAACACTGCTGCCATTCCTGAATGTATAGTATAGGTTATAATACATGATTCGATTACATCAACATTGTTATGGTAAGGAAGATATGGTTTCGTCTTGAAAAAGGCGGGCGGGCGTTCCTTAGTCCCCTGACAAAATGTTGACAATACTACTACTAATAATATACTTACTTCAGTACACATCTGCTGTGGTCTATATTTATGTACAATATCCAATAGCTGGTCAATACAGTGAATGAACCTCCGATTTCATAACACAAAACCACAAGCTGACAATGCGGAAGTGAATATGATCGTTCCCTGCTTCGATGAATTAGAGATCAAGAAATTGGCCTAGATAATTTAAAAGTAATCATAATATCGACATTAGGTAACAGTGTTACCATCGTGGATACTTGTACCTTGTATATTCGCCTCAAAGCCATGGTTCCCAGGTGGAATTGTGAAATCAGCTTAGATTCGTCATGGTCTAATTTTGTGTCGCGGAATGTTTACCAAGTTACCTCCCCTACATTACAGCGCATGAACGGAGATGTGTGAAGCGTACGTAACCTATAGTTCACTTGATGCTTGCAAATAGTTTTCTGATGCTGTTTGACGACAAATGCATAAACACAAAGCGTCAGGGTTGCATATTTTTTTTCTCAGACAGGTTAAGAGTGAACAACCGTACAGGAAGTGCAGTGCATTTCTAGTGTATTCAGTATAAATATTATACATTAGTATATATAATATTATTCCCTGTTCCAATCTCTATAGACTGCCCATGGCCGTCATTTTAGAAAACGGGTTTTCAGTGAATACTGCAAATTATTCAGCGCCGTTCACAGATGAACACAGAGCGTGTCCTTCCCAGCTGAATACACTGGAGTTGGAACTGTCAATTAAGTGAGCAGATGTTCCTAACACTATCAATATAGGGGCTCGAAACTGTCGGGTTTAGGAAGAACATATATATATATGAGGTTTTGGAACATACAGTTGATCTCATGGAACATGCTAATTTTGAAAGTGAACGTGTCATTTATGTAATATAATATGATGAATAACACATGGTGATCGTGTTTCCCCTGATTTGAGATCAATTGTGAGTGGGTGGCTTTATTAGTTGTATAACAATATAAAATCCGTGGTTAATATTATGAGCACATGCGTGAATATATCCACTTTTTTCACTGCACCAGGTTCACAAGCATACAATCTTCTGTTCAAGGAAATCGGAAGGCTAATGTCGACCAAGTGATTGTACTCACACCAAGGAATTTCTGTACACCAAATGCTACTGGTCGCAATTTTATACTTTGTATAAGATACCTTTAAATTATCGTTATCTTGATATTACAAAGTACATAGAACACAAATTATGTTGCATGAATTCAAACTGTTCATAGAGATAGTCCATCCACTGTAAGCTATTCAAATGACACAAATCTGCGTCAGGTTACATAACGCCAGCCATGTTTTCCTACTCAATATTTATCTGTCGATCGTTTATCTTTCCAGATATATTTCAGTTTAATATCCGTTTTATTACGTACTAATAGCTATAAGAGCTGATAAGCATAGCCACAAGTTTCAAAACCACATATCTTACTAATCCGTAATATTCTTATCTATTTCATAAATTATTATACATCGAAGGAACATATCCTAACTCGCCTAGAAGTTTCAGGATCCATCGATAGCTACATATATTATATTAATAGTAGAGTGCCGATAACATGAAGTTTATGCGACATGCAGTTTTCACTCAATAAACCTTACAAAAGTATCATAAATATAATAGTCCTTATGAATATTTATGAAGGAAAATGAATTGCAGGGTTCGGAATAATGAGATTGTGATTCATTTCAGGGGCGGATACAGCTTTTTTGAGAAAGGGGGGGTGCACACTATTGAGAAAAGGGAGGGTGCACACTTCATTTTCACCAGAGTTTCAATGGTCATTTAATAAACTTTCAGGACAAGGGGGTGGGGGGTGCGCACCCCTGCACCCCCACCCCCCTCTGGATCTGCCTATGCATTTGTCACAGAAATACAATCCCATCATTCCAAACTCCAAATTCTCATTTTATTTTTGTTACTATCAAAGGTAACTCCTTTTACTAAAATCAAGTTATAAATACTGACAAAATTGGTTTATGGGAAGCAAATGGAGAAAATGTCACATCTTTAGACAGCCAAACTATATACTAATGCAGTTGAAACTGAATGTGTGGAACCAACAAACAACACAGAGATGGGATGTAATTATTAATTGTATTGTATCGTACGTTTACAAGTTAACACAAATCACTACCAAGGTATCACGGAGGCAGTATAAAATAGAGCAATAAATACTTGTGGATTCCTAAGTTGAAATCGAACGTTAACCGTGAATAAATCCCTAAAATATCTCGGTGTGAAACAGACAAACAACAAAGAGACGGTATGTAATTTAACAATTGTATTCAACAATTGACTAAGTTTAAAGGTAATGCAAATCACTGTAAAGGTATCACAGAGGTAGCATGAAATAGAGAAATAAATACAATGATGGAAATATTCATCTCACGGCAACAATGATCAACGTTCCTAAACAGGCTAGGTATTCAGGGTGATAATGTTCGCCACACAACCGCTGGTGTTGTAACTTGAAATGGAATGTGAGATGAGATGCAAGAGTTAACTCCCCTTATACACCAAAGAAAAAGACTTCAAAAGATTCTAAAACTCCCTGAGTCAAAATATAGTGAAAAAGATCAAAGGGTTGTAATACTATAGTCCGTTTGGCTCAAAAGCGGACCGATGAATTGCAATCTAACTCGAAAACTAATAACCATATAATACTCAATGAAACACTGATCATAACGAAAACGTCAGACCTACTCTGTGAGGTTTTTGCAGAATTTATGTCCTAAATTAAAAAAGTTGTTTAACAAACTATCATTAAAATATTGACACAGTTCACTATTTGTTACGAGGGAGGAGTGCAGGGAAAGGGACAGCTAGGTGTTAAAGAAGCACGTGCACAGGTGCCGACAAAGTTATTGATTCATTAACCTGTGCTGTGCCGTCTCCATGCTTTCTCGCCAACCTGGCTGTCCCTTTCTCTGCACTCATGGATATTGGGTTCAATAGTGACTTGTGAAGATAAGTTCACATGGTGAGTTGTGATGATGAGTTCCTGTAATCTGTTCTGGAAATGAATTCACATGGTGAGTTGTGATGATGAATTCCTGTAATGTGTTGTGGAGATGAATTAACATGGTGAGTTGTGATGATGAATTCCTGTAATGTGTTGTGGAGATGAATTCACATGGTGAGTTGTGATGATGAATTCCTGTAATGTGTTGTGGAGATGAATTCACATGGTGAGTTGTGATGATGAATTCCTGTAATGTGTTGTGGAGATGAATTCACATGGTGAGTTGTGATGATGAGTTCCTGTAATGTGTTGTGGAGATGAATTCACATGGTGAGTTGTGATGATGAATTCCTGTAATGTGTTGTGGAGATGAAATCACATGGTGAGTTGTGATGATGAATTCCTGTAATGTGTTGTGGAGATGAATTCACATGGTGAGTTGTGATGATGAATTCCTGTAATGTGCTGCGGAGATGAATTCACATGGTGAGTTGTGATGATGAATTCCTGTAATGTGTTGTGGAGATGAATTCACATGGTGAGTTGTGATGATGAATTCCTGTAATGTGTTGTGGAGATGAATTCACATGGTGAGTTGTGATGATGAATTCCTGTAATGTGTTGTGGAGATAATCTGTTGTGGAATGTACATGGTGAGTTGTGATGATGAATTCCTGTAATGTGTTGTGGAGATGAATTACATGGTGAGTTGTGATGACATGGTGAGTTGTGTGATGATGAATTCCTGTAATGTGTTGTGGAGATGAATTCACATGGTGAGTTGTGATGATGAATTCCTGTAATGTGTTGTGGAGATGAATTCACATGTTGAGTTGTGATGATGAGTTCCTGTAATGTATTGTGGAGATGAATTCACATGGTGAGTTGTGATGATGAATTCCTGTAATGTGTTGTGGAGATGAATTCACATGGTGAGTTGTGATGATGAATTCCTGTAATGTGTTATTGAGATGAATTCACATGGTGAGTTGTGATGATGAGTTCCTGTAATGTGTAATTGAGATGAATTCACATGGTGAGTTGTGATGATGAATTCCTGTAATGTGTTGTCGAGATGAATTCACATGGTGAGTTGTGATGATGAGTTCCTGTAATGTGCTGCGGAGATGGGTTCAAAGGATGAATTCTGGAGATGGGTTGACATGGTGAGTTTTGGAGATGAATTCACATGGTGAGTTGTGGAGGTTTACACGATGCGTTCGGTGAGGTGATCACATCTTCTGCTGTTACAATGAGTTCACATAGTGAGTTGTGGAGATGAGTTCACATGGTGAGTTGTTGAGATGATTTCACATGGTGAGTTGTGAAGATGAGTTCACATAGTGAGTTGTGGAGATGACTTCATATAGTGAGTTGTGGAGATGAGCTGACATGGGGAGTTGTGGAGATGAGTTCACAGGGTGAGTTGTTGAGATGAATTCACATGGTGAGTTGTGGAGATGAGTTCACATGGTGAGTTGAGGAGATGATTTCACATGGTGAGTTGTGAAGATGAGTTCACATAGTGAGTAGTGGAGATGACTTCACATGGTGAGTTGTGGAGATGAGCTGACATGGTGAGTTGTGGAGATGAGTTCACAGGGTGAGTTGTTGAGATGAGTTGACATGGTGAGTTGTGGAGCTGAGCTCACATGGCATATTTCTTCGTCCACTCTCTGACGGTCTGCTCGTATTTCGCCCGGTCAGTTTTGTACAGGCAGGCAATGTCTGGTTCCAAAGGATCATCCGCATTAATGTCATCCACCAACAAGCATCTCACACACAGTAAAACTGGAACGAAGAAATATGTATTTATGAAACCCCCGCCAACTCCTGTTACAAAAACTGTGGACTATCCTACCAAAGTTTTGTTTCAATGTAAATCGCACCAGACGTTGACATCACGCAGTTATTTCAGTGTTTCTTTTGTACTTTACCAATCTGAAGCCACGGGAAACAACAATCATTTATAGATCATTTCGACTTGTCTCCCGAAGATTAAATGTTGTAAGACAGGGAACCAAAGTTTTAATCGTGACCACTGTCTCGGGTAAGACGGCGGTATCATTCGCACCTTTGGGTAGAGTGAGCCCCGCGTACCAACTATCTTTCAGAATGTCCAAGTTCAGCAAGCCTTTCTTGCTGATGTTTGGGTGATAGACAGGTGTCTTGAACTTCACCTGTGTCAAGACAGATAAACAGCATGGGTACAACAAGGACTGGTCGGCTCGGAGTCAGTATAATGTGTCTGAGTGGGGTATTCATGCTGCACTGCGGCATGGTATCTCAGTGGGCTAGCACTATAAAACCAGCTTCAGTCTGGGCTAGTACAAGCAGCCACACATACACATACACACGCATGCACGTCGTCACATGAGCGAAATATTCTCAAGCACGACGTTAAACCCAATTTCACCTCACCTCTCACACACACACACACACACACACACACACGTTTCTGGGGTGGGCACCATAAGTATAACAGCTGTTTGCACCAATAGAAAACTTGTTCACATGAACGTCGATAAAAGACTATTGAATATGTGACGTTGAATCTTCCGAAGCTTAAAATGGAGTGAAAAACTATTCTTTCGGTAAAGAAACCCACGTGTAAGTGGTTCTTAGAGGGGACTTAGATAGGTTCGTTGCTTTATGGAATTAAAAGGCATACCTTATCTAAGTGGGTATAAAGGTTTAGCTAAGGGTTTCAACTGAGTATTTTCTTACGCTGGAAACGGGTGGGGGTTACATTAGTATCCTACCTGTGGTTTACCTTCGGATTTATATCGGTTTCTCACCTTGGGGGGTCTAACTGGGTATTCCATGGGGAACACCACGTCCAAAATAAAAGTCCCACCTTCATAGGGTGTACCAACCTGGCAAAGGAAATCAGAGTCAATGTCACTATGCAGCTCGTGCTGAACCCTCATAAGCACTCTAGGGGGGTAAAGGTCTTTAACCTTTAGCCTCCTGAATTAATTAATTTTGGGATGTCATTATTCTGCTGTCCTGTCAAATGGGTTCGACAGTAGAATCGAGAGGATTAAACCTCTTGTCTAGAGTGAGTGAGTGAGGTGAGCTTTACGCAGCTATTAGCAAATTGAATATTTGAGCATTATAACGGCGGGGGACACCAATGGGCTTCACCCATTGTACCTACTAGGCTATCCCACCACTCCGCTTGTTGAGAACAATGGGTAACGCGATATTGACTGATAGTTTATTATATCCAAATGTGTACAGACCACGTATATCGTTTTTAGGTGGATAGGTGAGGTGAGGTGACATTGGGTTTAACGTCGTGCTGGAGAATATTTCGCTCATATGACGACGTCCATTTCGCGTGTGTATGTGTATGTGCGGCTGCTTGTACTAGCCCATACTGAAGCTGGTTTTATAGTGCTAGCCCACTGAGATACCATGCCGCAATGAAGCATGAATACCCCACTCAGACACATTATACTGACTCCGAGCCGACCAGTCCTTGTTGTACCCATTAATGCCGAGCGCCAGGCAGGGACCAACAAGTACCATAGTTTAACGTCTTTTTGGTATGACGCGGTAGGTGGATAGAATGCTTGCCCTGAGAGCAGAATATTGGTGGTTTGATTGGTGATTAAATATGGTGCTTGTTGTTACCCTGCCTTGGAGTCGGCATTGAGGGGATAAAACAAGGACTGGTCAGAGTCAGTATAATCTGTCTGGTTGATTGGTTGGATTGGTGTTTAACACCGCACTCTGCAACATACCAGCTATATGGCGGTGGTCTGTAAATAATCGAGTCTGAACTAGACAATCGAGTGATCAACAGCATAACCATCAATCTACACAATTGGGAATCTACACAAATGTCTCAACCAAGGCTTCGAGCCTGACAACCCGATCCCGTTAGTTGACTTTTACAAGGCAAGCATGTATTCTTGAATATCAATTCAAACCCGGATATTCACGGGTAGTATAATTTGTCTGATGGAATTCAATTTAAACTGTGGCAAACGTGCACACATTTACATACACTCATGTACGTCCGTATATAAGAACAATACTTCTAAGCGCCACGTTCAGCCACATAACACTCAAACCACTGCCAGTGTTTGTTGGCGCACTTTGAGCACCGAAAAATTAATATTTACTGAACAAATCTAACTGAGTGAGTGAGTGAATTATAATTTTAGATTGCATCGCCAATATTACTGCAATATATTTTTGAGAACAAGTTGACCATAATTTAATGTCTATACAAAGAAAGTAGAACAGTATGTTCAGTATCACAGTTTAGGTGTAAAAACCAAAACCAAGAACAAATCTCATAAATACTTTACAGTTCTTATATAACTTAGAGGTAATCAAAATGTGAATTATGATTTGTTTTAAAGACCTGGGGTCTCTTATGTTAGCTTCCACAGACAAATGTGAAGATAAATACATGTACTTGGATATTTATACATACCGGACCCTCTATGATCGCGTCCCAGTAAAAAACTGCAACAGATCAATTTCTAAATGGTAACAAAAACAAAACCCTTGATTCTAATAAATAAAATGAAAATATATTGTTCCCGTATTTTGTTGGAAGTGTTTATAGTACTCGTCAAAAGAAAGCACGCACCCACTTTTGATGATGACTAAAAATGACACAGTCGACAAATACGATGATTAAAGCGACGAAGGAAACCACAGTCTTTACTGGCCTTTCTTACAGCCACAGACCCAGGGAACCAGGCTGGTCATACAACCGTTTATAAAATGTGCTTCAGTAAATAATGCAATATTAAAGAAATAAAAATACTTTTGTCACCTACAGTCGTCTAGGGGGGGGGGGGGTCCGTAGGATATCCCTTCCATAGGATCTTCCACAAAGTGCTGCCATTCCTGTATGTATAGAACAGGATAATACAGGATTCGATTACATCAACAATAGTGTCGATGGATGACAAACGGTAATAATAATAATAATAACAATATTACAGTACTTATTTCAGTACATATTTGCTGTGGTCTATATTTATCTACAATACCCATTAGCTGCTCTATACAGTGAATAAACCTCCGATTTCATAACACAAAACCACAAGCTTACAATGCGGAAGTGAATATGATCGTTCCCTGCTTCGATGAAATAGCGATCAAGAAAATTGCCTAGATAGTTTAAAAGCAATCATAATATCGACATTAGGTAACAGTGCTACCCTCGTGGATATGTGTACCCTGTATATTCGCCTTATTGCCATGGTTCCCAGGTGGAATTGTGGAATCAGCTCAGATTCGTCATGGTCTAAGTTTGTGCTACGGAATGTTTACCAAGTTACCTCCCCTACATCGCAGCGCATGAAAGGAGATGTGTGAAGCGTACGTAACCTATAGTTCACCTGACCATGCGCCTGACGTTTGCAAATAGTTTTCTGATGCATTTTAACAACAAATGCATAAACACAAAGCGTCAGGGTTACATAATCTTTTTCTCAGACAGGTTAAGAGTGAACAACCGTACAGGTTCCAGTGCAGTGCATTTCCACCGTATTCAGTATAAATATTACACATTAGTATATATAATATTATTCCCTGTTCCAATCACTATTGACTGTCCATTGCCGCAATTTTAGAAAACGGGTTTCAGTGAATATTGCAATTTATTCAGCGCCGCCCACAGATGAACACAGAGCCTGTCCTTCCCAGCTGAATACACTGGAGTTGAGTACTGCCCCATATATGAGCAGATGCTCCCAACACTAACAACCCGGATGTAGGGGCTCGAAACTGTCGGGTTTAGAATGAATATACTGAGGTGTTAGAAGTACATGTATGTTATATAAAGTTGATCCCATTAAACATGCCAATTTTGAAAGTGAACGCGTCATTTATGTAACATAATATGATGAATATGACATGCAATTATAAGCCATATCCTGGGACCTGAACATGTCTTACTGAACAGTGACGTGTCCCTTGACGGGGGTTGAAGTCCTGTAAAATTATTGACCCTTTAAGAGGGTATGTAAGCCCACTTCAATCACAGAATATTCTTATTTCCCATCGTTTTTTATCGTAGAATATTTGTAGTTTTTAGATAAATGGCTAACATTACTTACAATCGCTAGCAGCTTGATGGGATGGTGTAAATTCAGCTAGGGTCCATCTAGGAAGCAAATGTACTGTATGTCGCCATAGTCCCTACTATGGTGATCTACCTTCAGTTGTTGGCGATTTAATGCCCGTGTTTTATATTGTATTGTCTTCTTTAATAAAAATGTTTTAGTTTTACATGCTAGTTTTATATTCATATATGTGATACTGTAGTATGTATACTGTCCTTCATTGACAGGTTTATATACTTTACCTATAATTATTATAAATATATAACTTGATATAGTCACGATATGGTTGAAATACTGCCGATGTGACTTAACATTTTAACTCACTCACTCACTCACAGAACAAACGGAAATGATGATCGAGTTACCTCTGTGACTGGATATCTCTGTTCAAGGAAATCGGAAGGCTGGTGACGACCAAGCGATTGACTTGGTTCAAAGGTATTCACAAGGAATGTACACCACATGCTGCTGATCCCAATCTCGAGGAAACACATACTTGGTATACATTATCGCTTTCGTGATATTACAAAGTACATAGAACACAAATTATGTTGTGCGCGAATTGAAGTTGTTCACAGAGAAAGTCCATGCACGGAAAGGTAGTTTTATCTTCTTCTGAAGAGATTATAGCCGTAATATACTTAGTTTCATAAATTATTATACATATCCTTACTCGACTAGGTGTTTTCCAGATCCATTGGTAGATACATTATTATGTTAATAGCAGATTGCCGATAACTTGTATTTGATGCTTTCACTCAATAAACCCTACAAACGTATCATAAATATAATAGTCCTTATGAATGTTCGTGAAGAAAATGAATTTCAGGGTTCGGAATAATAAGATTGTGATTCATTTGTCACAGAAAACGCAAAAAAGTTCTAAAAGTTCTCATATGTTTTAACTATCGAAGGTAGCTCCTTTTATCAAAGTCAAGTTATACATGCTGACACAGCAAATGGGAAGCAAATGCAGAAAATCTAACAGCTAGCCAAACTAGATACTAATGTAACGTGTTGATTCTCACGTTGAAACTGAATGTGTAAATCAACAAACAACACAGAGATGTAATTATTAATTGTATTGTACTGTAAACTTACAAATTAACACAAATCACTACAGAGGTATCACAGAGGCAGTATAAAATAGAGCAATAAATACAATTATGGAAATATTCACCTCACTGTAGCAATGGTCACGTTTCCAAAATAGGCTAGGTATTCAGGTTAATAATGATCGCCACACAACTGCTTTTGTTATTGTAACTTGAGATGGAATGTGATATGAGACGCAAGAGTTAACTCTCCTCTTACACCCAAGAAAAAGAAAAAGAATATTTGACAGCTCTCTGGGTCACAATGTACTGACAAAGATCGTAAGTGTAATAAATAAATGTACATCAAGATTTATCATTAAACACGTCACAATTTAATTCTAGAAACTCAAAAGTCCAGAAACTCCCCGCACTGTGGCCAGTTTCTGACATTGTTTTCAGGTTTTGGAGGTTGTATATGAATAAAAGTATATTTGTATCTATCATCACACAAAATTAAAATCCTTTGACTTAATTCAACCAATTTAGAGCGTCATTAAATAATCTCGCCAATGGGAAACAAAATTGTTTCATGAGCGAGAATCATTACTTTTGCTCAAAATACATGTTCTTTTAATGTTTTGGAGGTTGTAAATGAATGAAAGTATGTTTATATATATCATCACACAAAATTAGAATTATTTTGATTTAATTCGACTAATTAAGATCGTTCTTAAAAAGAATGTTGACTTTTGTTTAAAATACATGTTTTGTCATGTTTTGGAGGTTGTAAATGAATGAAAGTATGTTCATATGTATCTTGACACAAAATTAAAATCATTTTGATTTAATTCGGTTAAGTTAGAGCGTAGAGTAAAAGACTCAGAAATAAATGTCAGTCCACAATGAGCGTAACAGTTTGACCCACTGGTGAGCTGAACTTCATTTCCAAATCCACATATCAATGTCTGTAACTATTCTTGACAAAAACAATTTCTTCATTTTATGAAAACACAATGCGAATTTCTTCATTTTATCCTTCTTATCAAAAAGTTCATTGAAAAAAATGAAAACAAATCACTGTATATGTAACCGATTTGAGTGTGAGTGAGTGAGGTAACATTTATCGTGGCATCGGTAATATACAACCATTATCTTGACGAGAATCAATTTAACATTGATAAGAAATATATGTATATTATAAAACCTGTCGTCAAGGGACAGTAAAACAACTGGAGTATCACAGTCACATTTAAAACGAACATTTAATGTTAAAATAATAGCATTATTCGAACGATACACAAATCCTTTAAAACAACTGCAGCCTGAGGGATGGGTGAATCCTGCATGGGTACGAGGCAGGTAGGAGGGGCAAGTAAATCCACATTGCTCATGGAATGGTGGCCTGACTTGGTTTGTTAAAACTGACATATCGCTGATATATTGCCAGTGTGACCTGTTGAAGGTGCACATGACATGCTGTGGCAATGAGTTCACATAATGTTGTGGACATTGGATTCATGTGGTGAGTTCTGAAAATAAGTTCACATGGTGAGTTGTGATGAGTTCCTGTAATGTGTTGAGATCACAAGGTGAGTTCTGGAGAAAGGTTCACATGGTTCGTTATGATTATGAGTTCATGTAATGTGTTGTGGAGATTCACAGGGTGAGTTGTGAAAATTGGTTCAAATGGTGAGTTGTGGAGATGAGTTCACATGGTGAGTTATGGAGGTAACTTTACATGGTGAGTTGTGGAGATGACTTCACATGGTGAGTTGTGGAGATGAGTTCACATGGTGAGTTGTGGAGATGAGCTGACATGGTGAGTGGAGATGTGCACATAAGTTGAGCACATGGTGAGTTGTGGAGATGAGTTCATGTAATGTGTTGTGGAGATGAGTTCACATGTTGAGTTATTGAAATGGGTTCACATAATGCGTTGTGGCGATGAGATCACATCTTCTGCTGTGACAATTAGTTCAGCGTGGTGAGTTGTGGAGATGAGTTCACATGGTGAGTTGTGGAGATGACTTCACATGGTGAGTTGTGGAGATGAGTTGACATGGTGAGTTGTGGAGATGAGTTGACATGGTGAGTTGTGGAGATGAGTTCACATGGTGAGTTGTGGAGATGAGTTGACATGGTGAGTTGTGGAGATGAGTTGACATGGTGAGTTGTGGAGATGAGCTGACATGGTGAGTTGTGGAGATGAGCTGACATGGTGAGTTGTGGAGATGAGTTGACATGGTGAGTTGTGGAGATGAGCTGACATGGTGAGTTATGGAGATGAGCTGACATGGTGAGTTGTGGAGATGAGTTCTGACATGGTGAGTTGTTGAGATGAGTTCACATGGTGAGTTGTGGAGATGAGTTCACATGGTGAGTTGTGGAGATGAGTTCACATGGTGAGTTGTGGAGATGAGTTCACATGGTGAGTTGTGGAGATGAGCTGACATGGTGAGTTGTGGAGATGACTTCACATGGCATATTTCTTCGTCCACTCTCTGACGGTCTGCTCATATTTCGCCCGGTCAGTTTTGTACAGACGGGCAATGTCTGGTTCCAAGGGATCATCTGGATTAATGTCATCCACCAGCAAGCATCTCACATACAGTAAAACTGGAACGAAGAAATATATATTTATGAAACTCCTGCCAACTCCTGTTACAAAAACTGTGGACTATCCTACCAAACTTTTGTTACAATGTAAATCACACCAGACGTTGACATCACGCAGTTATTTCAGGTGTGTTCTATAGTTCACTAGTCTCAAGGCAAGGGAAACAAAAATCATGCCTAGATCATTTCAATTTGTTTCCTAAAGACTTTGTGTTGTAAGACAGAAACTAACAAATCGTGGACACTGTCTCTGATAAGATGGTGGTATCATTCGCACCTTTGGCTACAGTGATTGGTGAGCTCCACTGATCTCTGAGAACGTCCAGCTTGAACACGCCTTTCCTGCTGATGTTTGGGTGATAGACACGTGTCTTGAACTGCACCTGTGTCAAGACAGCACAGGCAGATACAGAGCAAACCCTCCTTAATCAGGACCTCGTCAATCGAGATGCTCAACTATATCTACACATGCACTAGTTTCTGGGGTCGGCACTATTAATATATTAGCTGTCCACTACAATAGATAAATTGGTCACACAAAAATCGATGATAGACTATTGAAGAACGGGACGTTGATTAAAAGGGATCTAACAGGCGGTTGAAAGGAGTTTCTTTTGGTACGGAACGTCAATCTGACGCGAAGAGGCTGAAAGAGCCATCTTGCCTTATAGGGCAACATTATTCTTTCGGTAAGGTAACCCACATTCAGAGGTCCTTCAAGGGGACTTCAAGAGGTTCTCTCGTGAGTTATATAGAGACAGGTATGTTACCTTCGGAGATTTAAATCGGTTTCTCACCTTGGGGGGTGCAAATGGGTATTCCACGGGGATCACCACGTCCAACATAAAAGACCCACCTTCATAGGGTGTACCAGCCTGACAAAGGAAATCAGAGTCAATGTCACTATGCTATCAGTCAATGGTTTGTATGCTCCAGATGTAGCAGGAATATTGATGACTGCGGTGCAAAACAACATGCATGTCACTACGTCCTCAGTCTATCCTTAACGACGATAAGAAATCAATGTCACATCAGAACCCTCATAAGCACCAGGGGATAAAGGTCTTTAAACCGCTTGTCTAGAGTGAGTGAGTGAGGTGAGCTTTACGCCTTCAGCAATATTCCAGCAATATCACTGCGGGGGCAACCAGAAATGGGCTTCACACATTGTACCCATGTGGGGAATCGATAGAATGACTGTCTTGAGCGAAGAATATTGGTGGTTTGATCCCCAGCCTTTTCATGCATTAAAGTGGTTAACGATGATGTTTGCTGTTACTGTGCCTTGCGCTCAGAAGATAAAACAAGGACTGGTCGGAGTCAGTATAATCTGTATGGTTGGTTGGTTGGTTGGATTGGTGAACTCTGCAATAGTCCAGCGTTATGGCGGTGGTCTTTTAATAATCGAGTCTGAACCAGACAATCCAGTGATCAACAGCATAACCATCAATCTACACAACTGGGATACGATGACATGTGCCAACCAAGTCGGCGAGCCTGACAACCCGATCCCGTTAGTTGACTTTTACGACAAGGCAAGCATGTGTTGCTGAAGATCAATTCTAACCCGGATATTCACGGGTAGTATAATCTGTATGATGGGATTCAACACTCATGTACGTCCTTATATAAGAACAATACTTCTAAGCGCCACGTTTGACCCGTGAAGGTCCGGGTTAAAATGAAACTTCAGTAACCCTTGCTTGTCGTAAGAGGCGACTAACGGGATCGGGTGGTCAGGCTCGCTGGCTTGGTTGACACATGCCATCGGTTTCCACTTGCGCAGATTGATGCTCATGCTGTTGATCACTGGATTGTCTGGTCCAGACTCGATTATTTACAGACCGCCGCCATATAGCTGGAATATTGCTGAGTGCGGCGTAAAACTAAACTCACTCACTCACTTTAAGCGCCACGTTCAACCACATAATCCTCAAACCACTGCCAGTGTTTGTTATCGCACTTTGAGCACCGAAAAACCTATATTTACTGAACAAATCTAACTGAGTGAGTGAGTGAATTATAATTTTACATTGCATCGCCAATATTGCAGCCATATCGCGATGAGAACTAGTTGACTAATACCATTAAATGTCTGTCTACAAAGGATAGTAAAACAGTATGTTCAGTATCACAGGGGGCGGTGGGGCAGCCCAGTGGTTAAAGCGTTCGCTCGTCACGCCGAAGACCCGGGTTCGAGTCCCCACATGGGTACAATGTGTGAAGCCCATTTCTGGTGTCCCCCGCCGTAATATTGCTGGAATATTGCTAAAAGCGGCGTAAAACTGAACTCACTCACTCAGTATCACAGTTACGATGAAAAACAAACCAAGAACAAATCTAAATAATACTTTACAGTTCTTATATAACTTAGAGGTCATCAAAATGTGAATTATTATTTGTTTTAAAGACCTGGGGTCTCTTAGGTTACAGTCCACTGAGAAATGTGAAGATAATACTTGGACATTTATACATACCGGACCTTCTATGATCGCGTCCCAGTGGTTCCCTGCAACAGAACAACATCTAAATTGTAATTGTTTTAGATAGCTTTAAAACCAAAAACAATTACTGGTACAACGAAGTAAAATTGGTACTTTTCAATGAAGCCATTTCTTAATCTTTAATATGGGCGCACGGAGTCATCAGCAAACGTGACTGGTAACCAGACGTCAGAGGTATGGTTGACACTACACGACAAAAGAAACGTTACCCTCCTACCTTTCTGAATTACTTAAAAAATATCAAAGATATGTTAGAAGGTATTAGTTTACATGAAAGCTTAACAACACAGCTTTATGAAAATCACGAATTAAAATTCTCAAATGCATTCATATTTAGGTGAAATGCATCTTTTTCAGAAGAGTTATATTGGCCTATTTTCGTCCATGCCGAAATATACCAATAACAGTGATTAGATGTCAAAAAGCAAGGTTGAAATAAAATTCTACTTGGGGACAAAGATAAACCATTTAAAGTCACCATATTTCAACTATTAAAATAAGACAAGTAAAAAGTGTCTTTGATATTGTGAAAAAATGTTTAGGAATTTCTACAATGATCTTTGTTAACATTGTTGCTTGCAAAGTAACATTTTTCCATTTTATGTTAACACATAGCATTATCAATCGCCCAAACGCAGCAATATTCAAGCAGTATTTGCATCCATTTCACATGCAGACTGATTCTATAGGGTATGAAGAGAGCCGAGAAAATATGATATGATACACAAGTACGTGAAATATGCCACGATTAACAGCTGAAGAGAGAGAAAGAGCCATCGGGATGGTGCAGATGGGGTCCACATACAATGCTGTTGCCAACGCCCTCGGATGCCACCGGACCGCCTCCGTGGTGTAGTGGTTAGAGCGTCTGCTCGGGAGAGCGGAAGGTCGCGGGTTCGATCCCCCACCGCGTCATACCAAAAGACGTTAAAATATGGTACTTGTTGGTCCCTGCTCGGCTCGGGAGTCAGTATAATGTGTCTGAGTGGGGTATTCATGCTTAACTGCGGCATGGTATCTCAGTGGGCTAGCACTATAAAACCAGCTTCAGTTTGGGCTAGTACAAGCAGCCGCACATACACATACACACGCATACACGTCGTCATATGAGCGAAATATTCTCCAGCGCGACGTTAAACCCAATTTCACCTCACCTCACCTCGGATGCCACCGTATCACGGTTATAAGACTTATTCGGGGCTTCAGGCAGACTGTGGTCACCGTAGACAGACCAAGAAGCGGACGTCCACGCATCACAACGCCAGCTGAAGATAGGTACCTCCGTCATAAGGAAGGACGGTAACGTTTCTTTTGGCGTTTAGTGTATTTCAAACAATCAGTAACAGAATGAGGCAACTGAGAAAAGCATGTGGAACTAGTGAGAGTTTATAAAATGTGCTTCAGTACATAACACAATATTAATAATGAAAAATACTTTTGTCACCTACAGTGGTCTAGGGGGGGTCCGTAGGATATCCCCTTAATAGGATCTTCCACAAAGTTCTGCCATTCCTGTATGTATAAAACAGGTTAACACATGAGACGATTACATCAACAATAATGTTAATGGATGACAAACGCTAATAATAATAATAATAATGACAAACTTACTTCAGTACATATTTGCTGTGGTCTATATTTACGTACAATATCCAATAGCTGGTCAATACAGTGAATAAACCTCCGATTTCATAACACAAAACCACAAGCTTACAATGCGGAAGTGAATATGATCGTTCCCTGCTTCGATGAAATAGCGACCAAGAAAATGGCCTAGATAGTTTAAAAGCAATCATAATATCGACATTAGGTAACAGTGCTACCCTCGTGGATATGTGTACCTTGTATATTCGCTTCATAGCCATGGTTCCCGGGTGAAATTGTGAAATGCTTAGATTCGTCATGGTCTAATTTTGTGTAGAGGAATGTTTACCAAGTTACCTCCCCTACATTACTGCGCATGAAAGGAGATGTGTGAAGCGTACGTACCCTATAGTTCACCTGACGTTTGCAAATAGTTTTCTGATGCAGTTTTACAACAAATGCGCAAACACAAAGCGTCAGATTGACATTTTTTTCTAAAAGAAAATAAGAGAGAACAACGGTATAGGAAGAGCAGTGTCTTTCCTGTCGTATTCAATATGAATATTTCAAAACATTATATATTAAATTAAATTAAATTAAATTATTCCTATTTTCAATCTCTAAAGACTGCCCATGGCCGTCATTTTATAAAACGAGGTTTCAGTGAATATTGCAATTGATTCAGATCCAAGGATGAAAACAGAGCCTGTCCTTCCCAGATGAATACAACGGATCTGCCCAATATTTGAGCAGATGTTCCTGACACTAAAAGGGCGGTGGTGCAGCCTAGTGGCTAAAGCGTTCGCTCGTCACGCGAGTTCGTTTCCCAACATGGGCACAATATGTGACGCCGCCGTGATATTGGTGGAATATTGCTAAAAGAGCCGTAAAACTAAAACTCACTCACTCCAAACACGAACAACCCGGATGCAGGGGCTTGAAACTAGGATCTGGAATGGATATACTGAGGTGTTTTCAAATTGGATGTCTGTTATACAAAGTTGATCCCATTGAGCATGCCAGTTGTGAAGGTGAACGCGTCATTTAAGTTATAAAATATGATAGATAAGATATGGTATATCTAATGCTGCAGGCTGCCAGGGTTCATTCTGATCAGATATTTCCTGGAATTATAAGTCTAGTTTCTGTTGCTTGTCTTACAGAACAACGGAAATGGCGATCGTGGCCGAATATCGATTGTGAGTGGACGGCTTTATTAGTTGTATAACATTATAATAGCAGTGTTTGATAGTATAAGCACATGCGGGGATATATCCAAGGTTTAACTGCACAGGTTCACAAGCATACAATGCATGCGTGAATATCTCTCTTCAAGGAAATCGGAAGGCTGGTGACGACCAAGCGATTGACTTGGTTCAAAGGTATTCACAACAAGGAATTTCGATTCCTTTTTCTCCTCTTGTGAAAAACCTTGGCGTTCTTTTGGACTCAAACCTCAGCATGGACAAGCAAATAAATCATCTAGTAAAGACCTGCCACTACCATCTGAAGAACATCGGCAGCATCCGCAAAGTCCTAACAAAAGAAGCCACTGCCACCCTTGTGCGGACACTGATTTTATCCCGCCTGGATTACTGCAACAGTTTACTGTTTGGCATCTCTTCCTCTCAACTCCATCGTCTTCAGAAAATCCAGAACAAAGCTGCACGCATCATCACTCTCACCAGTCCTCGCTGTCACATCTCTCCCATCCTAAACTCTCTACACTGGCTCCGTATTCGTGAAAGGATTGATTTCAAGATTCTCTGCCTCACCTACCAGTCTTTCTACAACTCAGGACCTTCCTACCTTCAAGACCTTCTGACACATTACTCTCCAGAAAGAACCCTGCGCTCATCACAACAACTGTTACTTGCTGTCCCGAGCTACAGTCTCAAATCATTTGGCTCAAGGACCTTTTCATATGCAGCAGCTTCTCTGTGGAACTCTCTCCCTATCGAGTTAAAATCATCTCCTTCCCTAAGTACATTCAAAACACGACTAAAGACTCATCTATTTCTTCGCTACAAGTGACTTCCAATCATCCGTACCTGCCAACTGTATATAGTTTTAACTTGAGCTCAGGAAGCGCTTTGAGCATATCCCTGTGACGTGGAAAGGCGCTATATAAATGGCCTATTATTATTTATTATTATAATTTCAGTACACCAGATGCTACTGGTCAAAATCTCGAGGATACGGGTACTTTGTATAATATGCGTTCGTTTTGAATATCGTTAACTTGATATTACAAAATACATAGAAAACAGAATTATTTTGCGTCAAAGTTCTGGAAACTTGGACTTTAATGCCTCAAAGGTCATCCGAAGTTTACCCACAAAACAGTCTGTGATAGGACTTCCTTAAGGACAGGGGTCGTGGGTAGCCTCATTATAAAAGCGTCCGCTCGTCACAACTGAAGACCCTAGTTCGATCTCCCACATGGGTACAATGTGTGAAGTCAATTTCTGGTGTCCCATGCTGACAAGGCAGCACTCAATAAATCTGTGACACCACTTCTTATTCCCTACTCTGATTACAAAGCTAGCATTAGAACTTACATCCGTGATCTGATGCAAAAGAAGTGGGACACCCAAGTAGGTATTAACAAATTGCATGAAATAGAACCCTATATTTGTTACACCTACTTGGGTTGTCAGTCCAGATTTGAGGAGGTCATCAGGATGCCGCATTGGCCATACACGTTATACTCACAAATACTTGTTAAAAGGTGAAGATCCTCCGTTCTGTATCCCTTGTGCATATCCTGCTTGACTGTATTGAATTCTCCATCATATGGGATAAATGTTTCAATGTGAAAACAGTTAAGGATCTTTTTAACACTGTTAATTTTCATTTAATTATTGTTTTAAAGAAATTAATTTAATAGATGAATTTTGAATAATATGTTCTGTAGATAGCTGTATTTTAATGATTGGTAGTTTAGATTATCAACTTAGATTGTTAGTGGCTGTACCCTCAAAGGGAGTTAAAGTACTGTAAAATTATTGTCCTCCTGAGAGGGTACGTAAGTCCCAAAACATTTATAGTCAATCTCAACTTACCAGATTCTTTAAATGTAGTATTTTTGTGCTTTTAACTTATGGCTAAATTCGACTACAATCGCCAGGAGCTGAAAGGATGGTGTAAATCCAGCTAGGGTCCATGCAGGTAGCAAAAGTAATGTAAGTCCCCATAGTCCCTAATATGGTGATCAACCTTCAGTTGTTGGCGATCTATAGCCTGTTTTTTATCTTGTATTGTCCTAATAGTGCTATCAGTTTTAACTTTCCACACTAGTTTTAATTCTAATTGTGATATTCTAGTTGTTTTACTGTCCTTCGTCGACAGGTTTTATAATAATACAGATATTCATTTCAATGTCAAATATGTTCTCGTCACAATATGGCTGCAATATTGCCGATATGACGTTAAATAATAACTCACTCACTCTGGTGTCCCAATTTCTGGTGATATTGCTGGAACATTGCTAAACGCGGAGTAGAACCTAGATTCACTCACTCACCCCTTTCCGTAAACTGTCTGTCCTTTCCACCTACTGATAAAATTGATGTTGCATGAATTAAAGTTATTAGTTGAGATAGTCCATGCTATTCAAATGAGTGAATGAGGGAGTTTGGTTTTACGCCGCTATTCAAATGACACACCTTGGATAGTTTACATGACTGCAGCTATGGTTTCCTACTGAATATTTTTCTGTCGATCGTTTGTCTTCCCAAATATATAGAAAAACAAAGCGACTGTAAGCAGCCAAGCTCACACTCGGCGCTATATAAATATATTTATTTTCACCAAATAAACCTTCAAAGACCATAATGAATAGCAGGGTTTGGAATTATGAGATTTTGATTCCTTTGTCATATGAAACACAATTCCATTATTTCAAACTCTCAACACTTTCATTTTATGTTTTTATACGCTTCAAAAAAGAAACGCATAATCCATTTTAGAAGAATTTATAACCTTAGTTTAAGAGCAATTATTTCATATAATTTCAATGGTAAAAAGGTGAAAATTCACACGTCTATAAACAAAGTGTTCGTCAACACAAGAGCAACCTTTATCGTTGTGTTTCTGTTTACTTGAGCCAACGAGTCAGTACTTGTATGGCCACCATTATGCCCCAGTTGTGCAAGTATCTGAGGCATATTTTCAGGTTGACGAACACGTCGATTGAGTTCATCCCATAGGTGTTCTATCAGGTTTAGACCAGGTCATCGGGAAGGCCATGGTAAGACATTGACGTTAGAACAGGAAAGGTAGCTGACCGTGACCCGTGCTGTATGTGAAGTAGCGTTGTCATGCTGGAACAATCCCCTCTGTGGGTCCATAATTGGAAGCATGTGACGTGCAAGGACTCCGTTGATGTACCGATTTGCTGTCAAATTCCCTTGAACCTCTATTAAATCAGATATTTGTGTGCTGGATATTGCAACCCACACCATGACCTTTCCTCCACCGAATCTGTCACACCGTCGAATGCAATTAGGGGCAAAACGTTCATTTCTCCGACGGTAAACACACTGTCTTCCATTTCGCCGATGAAGAAAAAATCGTTATTTATCACTGAACCAGACTCGCCTCCAGTTGGTAGGGTTCCAGTTCCGGACTCTACACCACCGCAAGCGATTGCGCCGAAACGTTGAAATGTCGGGCAACTGCAGACTGCGACTCCCCAGCTTCAAGGCGGCCTATGGCGATGTTTTGATAGACGGAACTCAGTCATGGCATTATGATTTCCTCTTTTCCAGGCAAAAACGAATGACAAAATTAAACACAGCTTTTGCCTTACTTGCACGTGCATTTTGCTTGGTGACGTTCAAAGGTTTCTCAAACATGGGGGAAAGTTATAATTGCCGCGTTTTCGCGCTGAAACTCTTAGCAATTACACAATGATGACTTTTTGGAAAGAAATAGTATATTTCTATTGTTTTTGCTACATTTGCATGAGTCCAATATTTTCAAACTCACCTATGTGTTTCTTTTTTTAAGGTACTATTAAAGGTAATTCTTTAAGAAAGAGCTAAAAAAAAGTTATTAATGCTGACAGAATTGGTTTATGGACAACAAATGCAGTGAATCTAACATCTTTAGCCAGCCAAATTGGATACAAATGTTAGTGTATATTCCCAAGTTGAAACGTTAAAGGTGAATAAATCCCTTAAATAACACGGTGTGAAACAGACAAACAACAAAGAGACGGTATGTAATTTAACAATTGTATTCAAAAATTCACTAAGTTTAAAAGGTAATGCAAATCACTGTAAAGGTATCACAGAGGTAGCATGAAATAGAGCAATAAATACAATGATGGAAATATTCATCGAACAGCAACA